CGAAGTACAAATTGTTAAATCGAGACGAACCGAGTAATTTTCTATCAAAATTACTAAAAATTTCTAATAAAATTTTTGCGTGAATTCTGGGACACCCAATATATAATAATCGCAGCCTGTATCGCGAAGTACAAATTGTTAAATCGAGACGAACCGAGTAATTTTCTATCAAAATTACTAAAAATTTCTAATAAAATTTTTGCGTGAATTCTGGGACACCCAATATATAATAATCGCAGCCTGTATCGCGAAGTACAAATTGTTAAATCGAGACGAACCGAGTAATTTTCTATCAAAATTACTAATAATTTCTAATAAAATTTTTGCGTGAATTCTGGGACACCCAATATATAATACTCGCAGCCTGTATCGCGAAGTACAAATTGTTAAATCGAGACGAACCTGTGTTCCCTATTCCGCTATTCTGCCACGAGTGTAGAATCCAGCCACTGTCTCCGGAGTGTGCACCCTCCACGGGACACCCTGTACATCGGCCCAGAGGTGGCCAGTGGCGCGCCAGGGAGAGCTGGGTCGAAAAGCAGTGGAAACGGGGAATACCAGATGCAGTTCGTTAGCGTAGGGTAAGGGACGAAGATGAACGAAGAAGTGACAGGAGCGGACAGTGGCGTAAGGGATGAAGGGGTTGGAGAGAGAGAGAGAGCCGCTGCAGCGTTTATTAGTGTCCAATTGTGAGCGAGGGGGCGCGGGGCAACACGAAAGCTAGCGCGTGAACTCGCTCATTTGCGTGCCTGTTAATTTGCCACGTTTGTGTGAGCACCGTGCCGCGCCACGGCACGCACAGCCGGCCTCGCCGACGGACAGAGAGAAAATTAGCGCTTTGAGTGTGGGTGCCTGACCGCCTCTCCGCCTGTTCGCTGCGTCGCGACGCGGCCGTACGCGTACGTGCGTGTCGGCCAGCGTACCAACGCTTGGGTGGTCCCCCGCGTTGTGTCGGATAAAAATTGCTCGACATTCGACGCCATTTTTCTTTTATTTTTCTCTTTACTTTCTTCATTTTTCGAAAATTTTTCCCTTGCTTCCCCTTTTCTTTTTTTTGGGGGGGGGGGGGGGGATCGCAACTATCTTCGGGGGGGGGCGGGGAACGGGATGATC